TTCTTTTTCTACTCTCTATCTATTTTATTTTCAGTTTCAACTTAAGTGACAACGATATTTTGGATATTTGTGTTATGTTACAGCAATGGTACAATGGCTATGGTAATCATTTAACCTATATTTATTCTAGAATATTATTTCATTTTATTTTTTATTTCCTCAAATACATTTTTCCTCCATTTTATTTTGTTTTATTTTTCCCATTTTATTTTATTTTTTTACATTTTATTTACAAACTGAGTGACAGTGTTATTTTCTATACTAATCAATTTACTTGTATTTATCCTGAAGCATTCATTTAATTTCATGAACTGAACAATATTATAGTGTCTTCTAAGAAAAACAGTTTTCTTAAAAGCAACTCAACTTTAGCACAGTGATTCCCATGACAAAAATTGTGGCTGATAAGTGAGCCCTTTCTAAAACAGAGCCAGAATCTCTCGTTTCTGCCCTTTCTGCTTTGCAGTTGTCCCACTGTGAGTGCAGCAGCCCATGAAAAGAGTTCACAGGCAGTCCTGCTGTTTGTTAGTGTTTATGTTGTGGCTCCATGTGCACTTTAAGTTGAATGTCCTAATTACAGCTGGCTGGGCGCTGCAGTTTAAGGCAGGCCTCTCCGCAGTGCGCTGTGCGGCGAGAGGATTGAGCTGACAATAACCTCACCACGTGCTGCCTCTTGTGATAAAAAGCCAGGCTCTACCTCTTACCGTGCTGGAATATTCTCCGTTTGCCACTTTAATTGATGTCAATAAGGTTATGCTAAATTTGAAGATTTGAATAATTTGTCTTCCAGCACAATAATGGCATCACCCAGGCTACAGGCTGCTTAAGCGCAGGGCTGAATGGAGGTGTCAGGCACCCGGCGCTCTCTGCCCACATTCTGGGTTGACACCCCTTGTGCTTGCGTCCCCCGCTCATCTGATTAAAACTCCACTCCTGGGGAGAATCTGAACTTACATAGGCTCAAGCTTTACTATTAGCTCAAATTAGCTCATATTACAGTGAAATGTCAGTATTTGGGGAATACAAAGGATTACAGAATTTCACAACTTCATTGCAGTTTTCTGGAAATTCTTGTTATTCCTAGTTTAAAATGGATAGAGGAACAGAAATAAAAACCTTATATTTCACAAAAAGTCATTATTTACTCTATTTACTTATCCTGATGTGTTTCCAAATCCATTTGACAATATTTTTCATGAATCTTCCTGAATCTTCATGCTGCACTTTTACCATGATGTACTGATCACAGTCATGTGGACATTTATTTTACATTTTATAAATCTACTATATGACATCAGAAGACTTGGAATATAGTGTGTATATGTCATATGCTACCTGGTCATGGCAAAAATTTACCTGGGGGCACTTTTTCGCGAGACGCGAAATACGTACCAATAAGTACATATCACTGCAGTTTCCAAAAGAAATGAACACTAGAGGCAGTAAAACTCAGACTTTTCACACAAAGTTTCGATTAATAAAGCGTAATTTTCGTTTGGGAGAAATTTGGGGAGATTTAAAAACTGATGCTTTTGAATGTTAGAATCACACATATCCAGCTTCATATCTATGGGTTTTCATAGACGGTAAGTTTGTTCGGTTGCTCACGGAGTACGGAGACGTACTTGAGAGGTGAGAAGCTCCAGTTCGAATCCCGTGTAACTACGATTCGACAAAACAGTTCAAATCTGCATATAAGGAAGTTCAAATGTCACGGTTGCAATAAAAAAATGAGTTTTTATATCAGTTTTGCATTTGTTAACACTCGGGTAGGTTTAGGGTTGGGTTTGGTGTAGGGCACATTTCCAACATGATAGAGCATTAACTTTTAGCGACAGTCCCTGGATATTTGAATTCTGAACCACCACAGTACCTGAAGCAACGTAATAAAAACACAGCAATACGTACCTATATCAACGTAATAAAAACGTACCAGGGTTCACCTATTGAACCCGTGTTTTAGCACCACTCAGTGGACATTTGTCTTTGAAACTGCGGCGAAACATGCAGTAAGGTAGGCCTACGTAAAAACGGTGTTGCAGAAAAGTACCCAGAGAGAGGTACTTATGAGACCAGGTTGGTCGTATGGACACCTTTATGGTGTTTGTCATTTTTGGAACATCAAAAAGGTACATAAGCCATATCTATATCTATCCAATAATGTGAAGACTTCAGGTGATGCCAGCTTTGGATCCACATACAAAACTGTACAATATTATCCTTATATTGTAATCATTACGATTGCTGCCTAAAACATTTGTTTTGTCTGCTTAACTATATACATGATACAGCTAACCATGTAACTTGTATTATATTTCTGCCATATGGACATTACTTTGATACACTCCTCTGTGGCTGATAATATAAGTCTTCCCAATTGTAACATTGAAACAAGCATTTTCTGTAATGCTGTTTTGAAACAATATGTATTGTGAATATATGCTGCATATGGTGCAGGTCAGACATCAGTGTTTGCCTCATGACTAAATGTCATTTCAAAATGTTGTCTTCTTTAATGCTCTGTTATTTGAAGTTGCGATAAAATGGAAGTAGTGACATTTCCGTATTGTGACATACATCCGAGTACAAAAGAATTCTTAAAAAAGAAAAAATGTAAGGCGTTGACTTGGGTCTATACACGAGTTGTTGATTGGATGGAGACAAATCTGAATGGCAGCTTGCAATGTATTGTTAGAAAGGGACAGGGTTTATACAAACACAGTGATTGGAGAAGTTCATCATACGTCATCAGAATTATGGGGTCAAACTTTTTTTTTTAATGAAATATATACACGTCAATTGTTCACAATAAGATCAATAATGTGCATTTAAAAAATAGATGTTCACTTCATGCTGACTTTAAAACAGCATACCATGCATTCAACATAATAGTGCCACATACAGTCCTGTGAGGGGCATTTCATTTAACGGCTAGAGCTGAATATAATCAAACCTCAATTAAGCGCCTGTTAAGTCTGTCTCTCCTCCAGCTGCCCATTCAGCCCCCTGTCGGGCAGGCGGTTTGCCCCTGACTCATCGCCCCGTGTCCAGGGTCATATACCAGCACTCAGCGGCGTGAAAGCCCGCTGTGTGCTGCCCCATAAATTAACACATTTCCCTCTCTCTCTCTACCACCTTCATCACAGGAAGTCAGAAGAGGGACTTTCCGCACTCGTATAGTCCAACATGCTCCATTTCAAGTGCCCTTTTATGTATTTAATATGTTTCAAGTGCTGCATATTTTCCTGGAAGCTTCGGGAGGATATTAGTCTAAATTCACTTATCTGTTTAGGCCATGCGTCTGAGAATGTATGCACACTGGTGGGCCAATGCCTTGTTGTAAAATGTTGATTTATTTCCCAACGTGCAGCTGATCATTCTGAAGTCCTCTGTCATCTCCTGGGTTGTATCATACTTCAACAAATAGCCCATGGATGTTGTTTTGAGTGGTGCATGTGGGCTTGATTTTGCTCACAGCAGCTCTGTGATGGGCTAATTGGTTTAGCAGGTTGGGTCCTGAGATGGCCAAAGGGCAGCGGGGCGTAGTGAGCCACAACGTGAACCTGATGTTCAGGAGGATGCTTTGTTTCAGTCTGCGGATGGGGAGCATGTGGCAGGCAGAGCAACCTCTGCATTCAGCGTCTCTGACCCTTTTTTTTCTCTACCTCCACCCCTTCTATCCGGCTGCTTCACATTGGTTTTGAAACAGCTTTGAATGACTCTGACTTTAACCTATCACATATACAATGGTTCAGTTATTATTATAAGTATTTTTTTTGTTAATGGGTATTTATATGTGTACATATATGTAAATAATATATTTCAAATTCGTTTTTTTTTCGCATTCTGTGGTAATCAACAGCATGACTTTCAAATGGCTTTATGTACAGATTTAAAATGTGATGGGTGAAGAAAATAAAGAAAATCTAAATAATATTTGTCGATGGAATATTTTTATTGTGCATCATTAAGCAGCACAAGCGTCTCCAACATTGATCAAAAAATTTGAAAAATCAGCTAATTAGAACGTTTTTTTAAGGATCATCTGACACTGAAGACTGGAGTAATGGCTGCTGAAAATTCAGCTTTGCATCACAGAAATAAATTACATTTTTTTTACTTTATTTTATTATGGTTTATGCTTTATTTTTGATTTGTGTATATGTGACCCTGGACCACAAAACCAGTCATAAGGGTCTTAAGAAATTAAGATTTATGCATAATCTGAAAGCTGAATAAATAAGCTTTCCATTGATGTATGTTTTGTTAGGATAGGACCATATTTGGCCGAGATACAACTATTTGAAAATCTGGAATCTGAGGGTGCAAAAAAATCTAAATACTGAGAAAATCGCCTTTAAATTTGTCCAAATGAAGTTCTTAGCAATGCATATTACTAATCAAAAATTAAGTTTGAATATATTTACAGTAGGAAATTTACAAAATATCTTCATGGAACATGCTCTTTACATAATATCCTAATGATTTTTGGCATAAAAGAAAAATCAATAATTTTGACCCATACAATGTATTTTTGGCTATTGCTACAAATATGCTCCAGCGACTTGAGACTGGTTTTGTGGTCCAGGGTCACATATATTAAAATATTACTATTATTGTTTTTCCAGAGTTTACTGTTTGCTGTAAACAATATTAAACAAAACAAGGACAGACCTTGTAGAGTGTCTAATCTCTGGGGGCATCTAATATGAGTGTTTATTATTTTAATCATTCATGAGGGTTGAGACTCTGGGATGGCTGAAGGCTCCAGATTAAATTCTCCCTGGGAGCTTGTTATGACACTGACACTGTTTTCAGCCTAGTAAATGCTCCCTTGGGATGCAGGAAAGGGGTAGTTGTGAAGATGTTTAACCCCTATAAAGAGTGAGGCCTTGAACTTCGCGTGACATGCAGTGACCAACAATGAATTGGGAAAAAAATTTACTGTGGTTTCCATATCTTTTTGCTGATCCTGACTCTCATTCCTTTCTACCCACCAGGTGATGAGCATCCTCAGCAACCCTAGCGCCGTGGCCCCTCAGCCCCAGCATGAGTTCTCCATTTCCCCCTTGCACAGCAGCCTGGAGGCCTCCAACCCAATCTCAGCCAGCTGCAGCCATCGCTCCGAGCCTATCAAGACTGCTGACAGCCTGCCCTCCTCCCAGTCCTACTGCCCCTCTACGTATAGCACCACCAGCTACAGCGTGGACCCCGTCACTGCGGGCTACCAGTACAGTCAGTACGGCCAGAGTAAGTGCTTCTCTCCTCTTTACTTATAGTGAAAAACGTTTTTGTCGCATTTCCCCCTACATATCCATCGGTAGGACTCAAGTTGTATTCCTCATGAGTAAGTCGCTTTAGATAAAAGCATCTGCTAAATGAGTAAATGTAACTGTAAGTTACCCTAATATTGACACTTTTTATTTTATACTGCAGTGGTTCTCAACCAGAGGGCCGCAGCAAACTTCTTTTTAAGGGGGAATCTCAAAATGACTTAAAATGTTTAAAAAAAGAAATATAAAAATAATAATAATTTTATATTTCTTATTTAATTTGTTCCTTCAACAACTGTGATTTTTTATTTAAGAACCAGGACCTTCTTAAAGAGATAGTTAATTTAAAAAGGACAATTATTTCATTCATTTAATCCATGTGTTGTTCCAACCCGTATTTCTTCTATGAAATGCAAAAGGAGAATTTTAAGTTGAATATCCTGGACACTTTTTTTCCATGTAATAAAAGACAGGAGCTGTAAAGCTCCAAAATCTCTTTCTCTAAAAAAAGCACCATAACAGTGGTCAATACATCTTGTGCACTAAAATGCACTATATCCCATATTTTAAAGCCATATGATAGCTTTGTGTGAGAAACTGAAATTTAAGTCAAATTAAATCATGCACTACAGATTATGGGGGTTCATGAGAAAAATAACAGATCTTTTGAATCAAATTAATCAAATGAGCTAGTACACAAAACTGACCTGAATTTTGAGTTCAAGTGAGTTCAACTCAACTGGCACAAAAAATAAGGTGTAGAAAAAAAATTATTTAGAAATTGCTAGTAAATTTCTTAAGCAATTACACAAAAATATCAAGTATTTTGTGGTGTTGCTTTCTGTCATATGGAAAAGAGTACCTGGTTATTCATTAAATGATTTACAATTCAGTTAATTTACATTCAGTTATTTTAGTTGAGTTTAGTACCGAATCTTAATGTTTGAGGGAACTATTTCTTTTAAGTACTCCCTGGGGTGCGAAATCACTGATTTAGCCCACCTGTCTAATATTTCATTGAAATTCGGGAAACAGCTTAAGGGCGCACTTTGTAGAGGTGCGTGTGTTTGCATGTGTTCAGTGTGACCGTGAGTGTCAGAGAGCAGATTCGGTGCTCCTCTTAGGGAAGGCAGAGATTCATTCTGAGCGGGATTTAAGGAGTAAACGGGGCTGACAGGAGAGAAAGGCTTCCTGAGGGAGAGAGGTTAAGTGAGCTGTGATTACTCTCTCTGCGAGCTGTCAGCACCAGTGTCTCCTGTACAGACAGCTAGCCCACCCACAGGTATGCGGCTGCTACCGTACGTGCCACTATTCCCTGACAGCTTCCTTTTTGCTCTTGCTTACAGACGCTAACGTGCTGCGCTTACTGTCACACTGACAGATGTCTGGCACCATCCGCACACACCCTCGCTCTGCCCCGCCTCAACACTTCTGCTAATGATGAATAAAGGAAGGAGAGGTTCAAATAACACCTCCTCGACTGCAGTAATCAAAGGGCCTCCGACCAAACAACATCAGAGGCTCTTGACATGCCAGCAGCTAATGCCAGCGCACTAATGCTCGCCTTTTTTATATCCATTAATCATAGACGTCTCCGTCGTGATGCATTTTGTCATTACTGTTGACATTTTGATCAAATGATCACTGTGTTTACTGCTTGTCGGAAAAGGAGTGGCTGTGGTCGCAATGCCAGCTCCAAAAACACTCATGTAGCAAAAACTCAATCTTGTCAGTTTCGAAATGCAAAGCCCTCAGGTTTAACCTCCTCCACTTGACTGTTTCCACTTCCATTTTTTCCATTTCGGCTTTGAGGATGGGGGTGGGAAACGTCTATGCAAATAATTACCTGAAGGTTACAGCTAGCACAATGCTAACTTAATAAGTAAACTGATTCCAGTTGGACTCAGCGAGGGAGGCCTTTTCTGTTTTGAAAGGGAAGTGGCTAGAGGGGTTAATTGGAGCTTCCCCAGTTTTTTGCACCACACCACTTCCATCCTGTCCTTGGTTTGTCCTCGCAACCCCAAACACGATTCACTGTCTTTTTCCACCAATCAAATGCCCTTAATGCCTTTAGCTCATGTATTTAAATTGAAACAGTGTGAGATGGGAGGCAGATCAATGCTGAGGTCCTGGGTTGCAAGCGGGACTCTGGGTGCCCTCTGACCCTGGATTAGCCTGCGGGATAGAGTCGACACGTGTTCCTGATAAAGATCTCTCAGCGAAGCCAGACTCCAGATCAATCCAATGCGAGCTGTGCCCTCAGGTGCTATGTTAGTCACACCGTTTTGTGTGCTACACCTATCTGGTGGGAATCTCGCCACTCTTTCAGCCGTCTCTCCCCTCTCTCTATTGCATTTTGCACAGCCATACAGATACATATCTCGATCAACAGTAACAGTTTTCACAGGCGTAGAAAATCAAGTGGACTCATTATCTACATCTACTCAGTAGAGCTGAAAAAGTTTTAGCTTCACCAACTTTTCTCCCCCAACCAATTGCTTTCAAAAGAACTTGAAAAAAGCTTTTTTTTTGTTTTGTTTTGTTTTGTTTACCCGTCTCTCCCCTCTCTCTATTGCATTTTGCACAGCCATACAGATACATATCTCGATCAACAGTAACAGTTTTCACAGGCGTAGAAAATCAAGTGGACTCATTATCTAAATCTACTCAGTAGAGCTGAAAAAGTTTTAGCTTCACCAACTTTTCTCCCCCAACCAATTGCTTTCAAAAGAACTTGAAAAAAGCTTTTTTTTTGTTTTGTTTTGTTTTGTTTAAATTTTTTTATGGCAATTTGGGTGACTTTTTTTTTTTAAGAAAGATGGATGGATGGAATAGACTGGTGCATCACAATATAATGTTATATGATGGGAAGTGTGGAATTCTGAGAAGAGGGATGACAGACATAATGAGAAATGTGCTGAGGAATACTCGCTATGACAGGAATGAGTGACAGTGGGGAACAGGTGCTCTGTGTCTCTGAAATCAGAAGTGTGTTTGTGAAAGCTCACAATGATGTGAAGTGTCTGCTCTGAAACTACACCCAAAGTTTATATGCTTATATGGATCAATGACAAATAAGGATGTTCAAGATGAAAATATAGAAAAGTCACCTTTGTATGTGTTTTGGTTTTTATACATTTTTTTCAACAGTTTTTGTTTTTGTTTATTTTGATTTAAAAACAATGTCAACTGGTTTAATCATGAATTTAAAAGTAATAAAATATTTCCCCAAACTTAATCATGATTTTCAAAAAATTGCTTAGATGGATCAATTACAAATAAGCTGCGTAAAATGAAATTGTTGAACTATAACCTTTGTATTCATGTTGATTTCATACATTTTAATTTAGATTGAAAGGCTCTAAAAACTATCAAGTGGTGTAACCTTAAAGTTAAAATGTATAAAATATTGTTAAAAAAACAACAACTATATTTAAAAAAAAAAATACATATATCTATTTATGAAAAAAATTATGTTGGTTATGCCACACTGATTTCATTAGGCAGAAAAATATTTTTTTAATTCATATTTATTTAATTTTTTCATTGCATATTTTTAAAAAGCTATGACTTTGAGTATATTTAGATATTAATGTTAGATAGATTATGCCAAACAGCATTTTTTCTTCTTCAAATCTTTAACTTTTACTGAGACCAGTCTGTTACACCAAGACATTTTTTATTTTAAGTGCCACAAAAAAATAAAAAAAGAATTTTACCTTATGCCAAACAATATATATTTGTAAGTATTTTAGTTTTTTAATGAGTTTTTTGCTTGTTCATCTTTGAACAGGTGTATTCAGGTAACTGTGTATGGATTGCGTGTACACCACAGATCTAGGCAAAAATAGTCACTGTTGCATATTATTTTCGTATCACTGAGAAATGAATTGATTGTTTTAATCTTTGTGTGTAGCTGCGGTGGATTACCTGGCTAAGAATGTGAGCTTGTCCACGCAGAGAAGGATGAAGCTCGGAGAGCACTCGGCTGTGCTCGGACTGCTACAGGTGGAGACGGGACAGGCATACTGATGGATCTCAAACTGAACATCCAACCATGTGTTTCACCAGCATCCCTCCATATTTCTGCAGAACCCACATATGGACCATCTGACTAGGAATGAACAAGACCAAGAGAAGTACAAAATCATGGGCAGTCTTAGATTTTCTACCTATAGCAGCGTGAATACAAAAGCCATTCCACATAAAAAACAGACACTATTGTGCCGCATCTCCTTACTCGTCCCGATCCTTTCTCTATTTCACAACAAAGAGACCCTTTCAGGGCTTCAGAAAGAAGCCGAGTGAAAATGAGCATCAATTGTCTGAGCCCAAATCACTAAAGCCCTGCCCGTCGGCATCCAGTGTTAGCACACATAGGCTACAGCTGCAGCCGCTTGCCCATTGCAAACTGTTCAGACCAGGTTGTTTATAGAAAATTATGGTATTATAATTATATTTGTTATTATAAATGTGGTTGTTCCTATTGATGTTGCATTTACTTATTGTAATTACTCTTTGTTTACATGTTTCATTTTTATTTTTCTCATGTTTAGTTCCTGTTTCTATTTTAACCACAAGGCCTTGCTTTGTAACATTATATTTCTAATGGATTTACATGACAGTGTGGCAGGTTGTTTGCAAAGCTACAATGCATACAATTTGCTCATTTAAATCTTAAACCTGACATTCCACAAAACCTGGGCTGGTCAGTGGGGCATCTGGGTTGGTGGAGCCTTGAAATGGGGCAAAAAGGTAGTATGTGACCTGCTCTCTATGGGTGGAAAGTGTCTTAGGGATATCAATGTTATTTATGATGATTTTGTCTTAAAAATGTACACTGTTCTGAAATATGATGACCAAATGACAAAAATACATAATTTTCATTCTAGTACTTTTTGCAAAGAACACATACTTAATCATCTCTCTGGTCACTATAATTACCATTATAATGAGCCCTTATGGGCAAATGCCAATTTTAGCATGTTATGGCTTTTGATATACTTTCCCATACGCTTCTCTGCTATTCATGGAAAGTATAGATATAGCTTATCATTTATCCAAGAACTTAAAAACAATCAGATATTAGCCAATGAATGGCTGAAGGGTGATTTGTGAATTCATGTTTCAGCAATTAGGAAGAGGATGTACTAAATTGGTAGCACTTTTTTATTCATAAGAAAATTAGTTTCTGTTGTCACTGTAAAATGAACTGAACTGAAACTGTAGAATGGGTATCTGAATTTTTCGCAGTTTGTAGAGAGAAGTCGACTTTTACTGGAAATTGTGCCATTTTATATAGGTAAAACGTGGGATGGTCTCTGAATAATTGTCTTGAAGAAAAAAAAATCTTCAAAATATTACATTGAGAGATGGAATATATGACCACATTTATGGATTCTGTGTTTACATTTAATATTTGCCACCATGGCTCCTTATTCCACCTATTATCAGCTGTGTTTTTAACTTCAGAGACTATTTCGGTGGCTAAGATGAACTGAATCTAAACTGTGCTCCAGTGTCACTAGATGTGCCCTAAAATGCCATATATATTCAGGACGACAATAACTGAAATATAAACACGTGACCATGTGCCAACAAATGACTGAGGACATTTCCATTTTAACGCTTACAATATTTTGTAGTAAGACAAAAAAGAAATGTGAAAAAAAAATAATGTTTTTAGTGTGTTGCACTCATTTCTACTGCAAGCATTAATCTACCTTTGGGATATCTGAAGCACTATCCGATGGGGCGATACACCTTTCCCAAATATCTTTTCAACCTCAGTTGCTCTTTATTCTTTCATCGTTTACCTTTTTTTGCGGATATGTAATTTTCTTTGATATATTTCCGTTCAGCATGTGTGTATATTATCATGGCATAATTTATTCAGCTGTATGAAATACTAGCGTAGTGGGAACTTGTATTGGCATTTACTACCTTCAGCCTGTTGGTGTCTTTACTGTAGCACTGGCATATCTGTTATGGATTAAAGCTAAAAAAAGTGGACAAAGAAACCCAGCTTGCTTCTTTTTTTTCCTCAACACCCACTATATGGATCATGCAATAGTCAAATATGCTCATGGGGCATATATATGTCTTCTATTTAAAAACTAAAACATTTGATTACACATTTAATAGTTGACTCAGTAATGCTATATGGCCAGAAGTATCATGTAGGCCTGCTTTACAATCTAGTACAAAATTTATGAAGAGCTTTTTAATCTAAAATGCTCATTTTCTGTAATACTTAAAACATGAAAATCTATTGGCATTTATCATATACACTCTTTTCATTGCTTTGATGTTGCTGTCAACTATAATCATGATTTAATCCCCATCTTAACAATGCTGTATTTTTATAGCCACTTTGAAGTCAAGAGCATCATGACAGTTGTGGTGATTTAAGATACTAAAAATATCAGTTTCCAGTAATTGAGTTTCCCTGGAAGTGAATAGAGTGAAGTGTTGCAGACAGTGTCACAACAGAGACTCTCAGAGCACTGCATTCACAGAAGAGCTGCAGGGCCTGAGGGAATTTACTGCGTTTCTTATGGGGTCACTGAAAATTGGGCACTGAATACCAGTCAATGTGTAATAGCATTAACGGCCCAAGATGCAGGCGTGCGTTGCACCTCCCATCAGAACGAGCATCTCTCTGATGATGGATTATAAACTCTCAATGTTTAATTAAGATCTTTAAAGTAATATACATTGTAAACAAGTTTTAGTGTTGCCATCTGGGTTAATTTAACGCATTCACACAGTGAGGGAATGTTTCTGCATGTGATTTTGCACTGAGGAATCCTCTTTATGATTCAGCTGTCATCAGTGTGATGTCATAAAATATCCTTTCAGATATTTCCAATATTACTGTTAGAGGAGCAGCTGCTGGGATGACCTCATAAAGAGTCAATTTTGCTTTTTGGATGGTCATGACAGTTATTTGTCCTTTGACAGTTATAGATGCCAAACTGTTTTTATTATTTATTTATTTATTTATTATATTATTATTTATTACTTATTTAGCTATATTTATTATTATATAAAATACATTTAGGGAAATTTGTGTATGTGATACAAAGACTGAAAAATGGAAAGAAAGAATTAAACACTGAAGACATTTATTATATTTTGACTATATTTAATACTCTGTTATATATTATATTGATATTTTTGCAGATAATCTAATCAGTATTTGATGTCTGAAATTTGTCATGAATGTGTGTGTGTGTAGACACATGCCTACATGACAATTTATATATATTTAATATAATTTTTAGTAATAATATAATTTATTAATAACATATTTTATTATTTATTAAACAAATTAAAGTAATAAAATGAGAGATTAAGTAATATTGGAAATGTTTAAAATGACATTTTATGACATCACGTTACATCTAGGACAGCTGAATCACGTGCGGTTATTTTCCAAATATTATTAAGAACATAAACGGATAAATCGGATAACTAAATTAAGTGAATAAATCGCTAAATAAATAGGTGAATAAATAGCCAATATCATCAATAAGATCAAAGAACTGACTTTCCAGTGGGGGGGGTTTAAAGAATTTCTGGGACGTGGTGCTTTCATGATAATGAGTATTTTGGGTCACTCACAAGTTGTTATTTTGAGGTAGGAACATGCTACGAGGTACAGACTGATTAAAACATGTCTGAAGAATTCACCACGACACCCCTCTCCCCCTCCTTTGGCTGTTATTATTATGTTTTAGAAACTCTGCGGTGTCAACCTCTCGAAAACGTAACAAAGAAAGCACTTACAAAGCCTAACATCTCCTTAAATCCCATAATTATTCCAGGATACATTATGTACCTGAGCCCGGGTGTCTGATCTTCACTGAAGGGATTCCACATTCCTACAATCAGCTTACACCGACAGATCGCATGATTGCCTAATAACCTGGATCGGTAAGTAGAGCGCTTAGCAGAAGATTGTTACAGAGAGAAGAATGTATCCCTTTGACAGACTCCATTGTTCGACATATTCTGCTTCTACTAAGCATTATACTCTTCTCAAATGGATTTTTTTCTTAGTACAGATGTCAATAGGGTAAGACAATTTTATTTCTCCTCGCAATTCACACGAAGTTTCCCTTTTTAAACCCAGTCTTTCATTTGCTATATCCAGGCACCTAATACAAGATTATAGTCCCCCATAGTAACCCTGGCATCCCTCAACCAAACCACGGTGTGCCCCTCCTTGCCCCCAGACTCTAATCTCCACACTCCAGCATCACTGCAAAATTAAGCTGTGAGAGAGCTGGGAGTCGTTTTAACCCCGCTCGGTCTAAAAGACTCTCAATACACCCTATTGAAAAAAAAAAAAATTCTCGGTGCAGTCATTTTTATTCCTACCTACCAATATGTCTCACTCGTATCTCTCTTTAATGTCGAGCGCCGTCTATTTCTCTCCGTCCTCCGTGCTATCTCACCTCAGTGAGCAAAAAAGGCGGGATTTCAAGGTGAACATGCAGGTATAAATCCAAGAGATAAATCGCGGGGCCTGTTTACAGGTTGCTTGCGAAATCTACAGTTAGCTTGAGGATTTATTCATAGTAATAATCCAAAATGGAGGCGAAATACTACAGACTGAAAATAATGAGCACGCGCTGCTGCATTCTGTGGGGAGATACATACATAAACCCTCTTTTTGAAAGCAGTCAGCTCTTAACAAAGCGTGACGCCTGGGTATAGACTCTAATACACAAAGACAATTTTTTCTAGATAATAGCCTATCACGCAGCATACAATTTAAATTAAAAAATGCAATTTTCACCTTGAAATGAACAAATTATTACAATTTCTATACAAATTAAGGCATCCAGGCAGCGCCTCAGTGCACAGCTCAGGCCATGAAACCTGACATAATTACCATGAAATACATTCTCAAATATTTGTATTTTGTCCATAGCTTTAAAACATGCCAGTCTGCCACCTTCTGATCTCACCTTCTGGGGCAAACACAGAGAAAAAAAGAGAGAGTGGAAATCATCTAAGATGAAAAGCCCTTCAACGGGCAAGATAAAAATGTGTAAAAAAGGCATAGGGGAAAAAATAAAACAAACAGTAAATTGCTGCCGTTCAGCCTGACAGCCCCTGGAGTTATCTCTAAAAGCCAAATTACTGAGTCTTATCATGGGAATCATATCTAATGGTTATCTACTCAGATGTTTCTCTCTCTCCCTCCTCTCTGCACCCCCTGTTCTTTGCCAGAGATTGCATTTATTTATGATTAGGAATATCTTTAGAAGAAAAGATGTTAACCTGTACATTTCGTTTGGAAAGTTATGGTGAATTGCAAGTGGTACAAAAGAACGAGGCATGTAATTCAGAGGTGAGCGCAGCCTCTGAGGATGATGGGAGAGATGCATGCCAATGACCAGGTGGTAGCTATATGCAAATATTTTCAATA